AAAAATTTTACAATCCCAGGCTAAAAGAGGGGGGATGAAATACGGTAATACGGGAACTCTGGTATTGACATTGGTTGATATATAAAGTTTCAAATATAAAATTAATTTCACATATAACTAACCATAAAAGTAACTTTTTTATGGAGGATTATGAAAAATTTTATATGATTTCTAGCCCAAAAGGGTTATTGGTCGCGAAACCCGATTTTACGTTATTTCACATCACAGCGTTCTTTCAGTTTTCATTCGAGTCTGCTGCCATTTCGAAAAATGTAAGGTTAAATGTAAGGTAAGGTCTTTACAATTTAATCTGCCTGTTATTAATGATCAAGATATGTTATTTAAAAGCAATAGATTCAGTTCTTAAGAATGATATTTTTGTAATTCTGAATGCTATCCAATTAAATAAAAATCCGTCAAATTCATTAAATATATATAATCAAAATGGTTAAATATTTTTGAAGAATTATGTTATAGATTTTTTCACTTTTGAAATATATGTTTTCACTTTAAGGCTTTGTTTCACTTTTCATTCCAGTCTGTTGCAATTGGGGAAATTGTAAAACATTATTCTTTCATATTTAATCTGTTTGTTATTCATTAACAAACTAAACTATTGAAAAGCAAAAGACGTAGTTCTTAAAAGTATTATTTTTCTACTTTTTAATGTAACTGAATAAAACATACATGAATTTAACTCATGATACACTGCTCGACATTGAAAATGCAACACCAAGAAGGAGTGATCAGAAAGTGATGAAATTTGGAAAAAAGAGAGAGACACAAGCAGCAATAAAGATCTTACTCAAAATGATAGTCAGAATCAGAGCGATAACGGCGTCGGCTCATAGGATGTAGGACCCCGCGACAAGCGATCACGAGAAAACGCTAGAGTCAATAAGGATCCAATGGTGTCCTGGGGATGGCTTCTCCTTCCCTTTCAACCAGTTGCCACAGTTGTCTTTGAACGAGGCAGACAGAGTCTGCAAACGCTTCATCATCCCACACATATTCGATTGGGACAGGTCAGGAAGTACGGTGCCCAGGAAAGATCTGTATACTTGCAGAGCATGTTGGCAGATGCGAGCACTGTGTGGTAGGGCGTTATCCTGCTGAAAAAATTGCATTAGGCAGCCCCTGAGGTAGAGGATCCACGGCCGAGTACATTATCAAGTATCGTTGGCCGCATAGTGCTTGATATAACAGATGCCTTAAATAAACTGGAATCGAGGCAATAGAGCCCCAAACCATTATCCCCGCTGTCACGCGGTGGGGCGTTCCACAGTTACTGCCGGTTAGATCTGTCTCCAGTCGACGGACCACGGATGCGGAATGTCATGGATAAACAGAAGCGTGACTAATCTGAGAACACGACGTTCGCTATTCTTACATCACATCGCTCCAGTCTGGCACCATTCTAAACGTTGGGCGTCATGCGTGGGTCAATGGTAGTTTCTAATGACGCAGTGAGTGCAGGCCTCGTTCAACCAACGAGAAAATGCTTTTGGTCAACAGAGAACATTCTGGTATCTTGCACATGCTGCAAAATCGCGGTAAAGTGACTTGCGGGACCGCCACTGCTGTCGGCGGATGCATCGTCCACGCGTGGCGTCATCTATCTGCACCTCACCCTCCTTCTTCCTCATTTCTTGTTCAAACCATGTCGCCATAGCCGATGCACCGTGCTCCATCCATGGGTATATCAGCTGCGATTGACTAAGAACCACCGCCCTTCTCAGCCGATAACATACCCCTCGAATCAAGTGAATCAGTGTATCAAGTGATCCCCTCCCCCCTTTTTTCCCCTCTGAGTGTGTGTTTCTTCGTACATTTTCATGTTTGTGTTTTCATAATTTAGTACCAGCTCTGAGCCCCTCACTGTAAATCCTCCCACAAGTCTCTTCTGTAATATGTATTAGTCAAGCAAGTTAATAGTCGCCTGTTTGGCCAGTAAACTCCTGCCCCTTACAAGAATCTGTAGGAAAAGAATGAAAGCTTCCATAGACGCAACTTGTTTCGCCTCTGCGCCGCTATATCGAGGAGCCACGGCTATGCAGTGAAACAGCAGCGCAGGGTGGAATTTAAATAGCGCAGTCCGAGGAGATAGTAATTTTTTTTTACTTTGAAATTCCTCAAAATGTTTTATTTTCATACATTTCAGATAAATTGTGTAGCTGATCTTTTATCTTCTAATCTTTAATCGTCTAGATGTTTCGCATAGAACATCCTAAAATTCAATTGCAAAATAAATGAATAAATAAATAAATTTTATTATTTTTATATTCCTTATTTTTCCCCTTAACCCTTCTTTCTGTAAACTCACAGAATTGTTATTCTTTTGATATAATATCTAGCATTAATTTATAACTAACATCAGAATTAATAGAAAACAAAATTAACTACTGCGTGATGTTAGATTTCTAACAAATCTGCAATTAATTACATAAATAACGCTATTTTTCTTTCATATATCAAGCATATTATTAAATATTAAAACAAAGAATAACACATTTGAGGTAAAAAAATGATTTTTTATTGACATTTCTCAAGTTTTAGAATATACATATGCAAAATAATTTTAAGCATCTTCACAAATACCAAGAAATTTTTTAGACAATTATTTGGAATGACCATTATGAAAACAATGAGCAAATTTTGCAGCCAAGAACCAAAGCATTTCACTTAAATTAACAAATACAAAATTACACTTAAAAGGCCTTTTAAAGAATTTCACATAAATTATTAAAATAAGTGATTTCATTACTTTTTCATAAAATATTCAATACTTCTTACATTTATTAATATAAGATTAAATACTGAACTTGAAAATCAAACCTTCCAGGTGTTATTAAAACCTGGGAAGAAATTTTATAAATAATCCACTGAATCAAATAAATATTGTTGCAGCTCATCCTGATGAAGATTATTTCAAATTATGAAATTAGAAATTGATTTTTTTAAATAGCAATTACAAAAATGACTATTTTCCATCTTCACTATACATATAATAATTCTAAAAATGCTGTAGCTTGGATTTTACATAATTTTAATTTTGCAAAAATCTATTTAATCCCGAATTATTCGACCAATGAGTACATTTAATTCTGTAAGCTTAAAAAAGAAAAACACATACCATACAATTCATAATAAATTTTTATAACTCCATATTTAAAATTTTATGAGCAAAATTTGCATGATAACTAACTGAAACAAAAAAAATAATTAAAAAACAATTACAAGTACCCCTAAATAAATTGAAAACACTGAATTCATTATAATTATCTGACCTCAAACTTAAAAAAAAAAAAAAAAAAAAATTACCAAGAAATTTTAATTATTTGGAATGACCATTATGAAAAACAAGAGTCAAAAGCATTTCACTTAAATTAACAAATACAAGATTACATTTAAAATGTCTTATAAAAGTTGCACAAAAATTATTAAAATAACTAATTTCATTCTTTGGTTCATAAAATATTCAATACTTCTCACATTTATTAATATAAGATTAAATACTTAACTTGAAAATCAAACCTATAGGTATTAAGAAGTTTTGTAAATAATCCACTGAATCAAATAAATATTGTTGCAGCTCATCCTGATGAAGATTATTTCAAATTATGAAATTAGAACTTAATTCTTTTAAGTAGCAATTACAAAAAATGCCTACTTTCTACCTTCACTATACATCTATACACTATACATCTATCACTATACTATATATAATAATTCTAAAAATGCTGTATGCTTGGGCTTGGATTTTACATAATTTTAATTTTGCCAAAAATCTATTTAATAAAGAATTATTCGACCAATGAGTACATTTAATTCTGTAAGCTTAAAAAAGAAGAAAACACATACCATGCAACACATAATGAATTTTTATGAATCCATATTTAAAATTTTACAAGCAAAATTTGCATATAACTAACCAAAACAGAAAAAATAATTAAAAACAATTAAAAGTACCCCTAAATAAATTGAAAACACTGAAATACATTACAATTATCTGACCTCAACTTTAAAAAAAAAAAAAAAAAAAAAAAAAAAAAGAGAGAAATTTTAATTATTTGGAATGACCATTATGAAAAAAGAGCAAAGTTTGCAACCAAAAGCCAAAAGCATTTCACTTAAATTAACAAATACAAGATTACATTTAAAAAGTCTTACAAAAGTTGCACATAAATTACTAAAATAACTAATTTCATTCTTTTTGTTCATAAAATATTCAATACTTCTCACATTTATTAATATAAGATTAAATACTTAACTTGAAAATCAAACCTATAGGTATTAAGAAGTTTTGTAAATAATCCACTGAATCAAATAAATATTGTTGCAGCTCATCCTGATGAAGATTGTTTCAAATTATGAAATTATAAATTAATTCTTTTAAATAGCAATTACAAGAAATGCCTATTTTCCACCTTCACTATACATATAATAATTCTAAAAATGCTGTATGCTTGGATTTTACATAATTTTAATTTTGCCAAAATCAACAGTCAATATTTCGACTAATAACCGTCAATTTTGTTGCACAGCATTCTTTGAGCATAACATGACAGGCGATCCAAACCATCAATTTTGTTGCACAGTATTCTTTGAGCATAACATGACAGGTGATCCACTATTATTGATGAGTTATTTCTTAGATGCGCCTATTGTTAAGCATATTGAAATAATAACAGTAAACACTGTAGATACCTGTTTGTTCAAATTTTGTCGGCACTGCACAGGAATGTAAATATCGCATCTTTGGTGAACAGTAATCGTGATCTTTGAAGTGTGACGAACATATTAGTGCAGTTTTATACAAATCAGTTGGTGATTTATTTAACAAGTCTTGACAGGCAATCCAAACCATCAATTTTGTTGCACAGTATTCTTTGAGCATAACATGACAGGTGATCCACTATTATTGATGAGTTATTTCTTAGATGGCGCTATTGTTAAGCATATTGAAATAATAACAGTAAACACTGTAGATACCTGTTTGTTCAAATTTTGTCGGCACTGCACAGGAATGTAAATATCGCATCTTTGGTGAACAGTAATCGTGATCTTTGAAAGTGTGACGAACATATTAGTGCAGTTTTATACAAATCAGTTGGTGATTTATTTAACAAGTCTTGATTACTGCATGCAGCAGCCCATTGTTTTGATCTATAAAAATGAAAAACATTAATTTTTATATTTTAAATTTCAATAAATCCATTTTCAGTGTTAGTAGAAAAATAGCAAACTAAAAACATTCCTTATACATTAGTTACACAATCTCGAGAAGGGTTATATATTTTTTAAGAACAAACATTAAATTATAATTTAAGGAAAAATTCATGTACATAATATGATTTATTACATTTCTGACATATTTATACTAATTCTCTATTATTTTGATCTATGAAAACAAAAAAAACAATTTTATTTTCTTTAATTAAAAGAACCTCTTTTCAGTGTTATTAGAAATTTAACCTTGTTAAAAAATTCCTTTTACATTAGTAACAAATTCTGAAACGATTTGCATTTCATCTAATTTTATTTTGATGTACGAAAACCAATAATTTTTGCAGATATTGTGTTAAATTGTAGTTACCGGTCATAGTATCTAGTTAAACAATTTAGCATTTCTTTGTACAGTTTTGTTAACAATATGATTAAAAAAGGATAAGGCACCAATAAAAAGTACACATTGTTCGTAAAGTGCATCTTTAAAATGTTTCCTTCCTTATTCACACTAATATGTAGTGGTTCCCTAAAGTGTTCGTACACTTATGTTTCAGTGAAATAGTGCTGTGAGAATTTTTTAATATCTATAAATTTATCTTAGCAAAACTCTATAAAAGTATTATAAGAATACAGTAAAACTTTTTGGGGGGGGGAATTAATAATTAAAAAGTAACAAAAAGTTACCTCACAAAAATCTTCGTGCACTTTAAAGAAATCTGCAGACACTATTACGAAATATTGCAGTTAAATTTCTGTCAGTTTTTGTAGGATATCCTGCAGCAGCATTCAAGCTTGTAATACATAAATTACAAAAATTATCTTCTAAAATATTAGAAGAAAAAAATTTTAAAAAAATTTGGTTTTATTCAAAATCACTTCGAGATATGAGAAAATATTGGGCTTTATAATCAAATTCAATTCCGGGCTACAGCGCATTTTTTTACAAATTCTTAAAGTGTATGAACACTTTTGGGAGCAACTGTATCACAAGCACAGTTATCTTGGATATTTACAGAAGAACACTGAACTATTTGTCTATGATGAGGAACACTTAATGAAAAAAAAACAAGCTATTTATTTAAATTATTCCAAATACATGAAATATTTGCTTCTCTATCAAAAATTGAGATATATATATATTAATAATAATCAAAGCTTAGTTTCTTTTAAACTTAGAAATGATTTACCTAATAGGATCCTTAGGAAATCTGAAGAATTTCCTGTCTGGTGTTTTTCGAGACGTTGTCCCACAAACACAACAGCGATACCAGGATTTGGGTTGTTTGCTAAGTAAAAGATAGATTGAGTTAGTCTGTTATTCACCACACCACATCAAATATTGAGAGAAATCAAAATTATATTTTTATAATAATGAATATAAAATTTTCAAAAATAATCATAAAATACGAAAAATTGTATATAACTATCAATATACTAAATTAAAAATAATCTTCAGTGGCCACTAATATTAAATAAGTTTATAAATTTTCTCAGATAAACTATTTGGTAATCTATAGCATAAATTTAAAGCTGAAGCATAATACAATTTATTAATAAAATTAATTTATGCAATCATACATGCCATTAGCTGCCGCATTATTATAAATGGCAAATTTATTCCTGATCGCTCGTTTTGTCGTAATATTATTATTAGTTGACTTTAAAGCTTAAAACTCATTTAAAAAATTTGGAAAGAAATACCAATATGCCTGCAAAAACTATAGTATTTGTTTGCCATATGATTAATTATATAAATTGAGATTCATATGCTAAAATGCAAAGTTAATATATTAAGAATGAAAATCTAGCTGCTGTGTTATACAATGAGACAAAATATTTTTGGAGCTTGGGAATCAAAATTAATGTACTATACAAAATCAATTTTTAAAATCTATGATAGGTTTTCGAATTAAAAAAGCAAGCTTACCTCACAGAAAGAGAATCGGGTGAATTCCGGTGATCGTCTTGCGAAACATCCATCTTATGATCTGCTTAAATAACTAGAGAAAAGAACTGAAAAAAACTTTCAAAGAACCTCTTCGAACAACGCGGTAAAAGATTGCTAATATGGCTGACGACATGCCGGTTTCTTGCCTGCTATTTCGCACATGCGCAGAAAGGTACGGAGGGTGGATGGATTGCCCCTTTGAAATAAGCTTCAGGGACATACACAGTGTCTCTTCAGTCTGACGGAGCCACATTTGCCTCGGGAAACCTTTACTTCTTCTCCTTAGAGATTCTTTGCCCTTAATAAGCTCCCGGTGTGGACTCTTGAGGCCACAGGGAGTTGTTGCCTTTAGATAGTGGAAGGCGAGGGACACATGCCTGTTTATCTCTGGTAGCCACAAGGCGTCCTCGTCTTCCGTCACCTACCTACCTACCTACCTACCATACCCCTCGTATAATCGTCTACCTGCTGGAAGTGGCTTCGTTGACGGCGGCCTGGCATTCTCTCCTAGTACACGTAGCCTCCGGGGCAAAAACCAACTTTCTTCGATAATTCGTTTTTTAGAAATAACGACACGAATATTGCCCACTCTACGCGTTCCTTCCTTTATATCTTACTTCACGTGCGTCGGAGAGCTGCGCATTTCACATCATTCGCATAATTCAGTGACGTACGTCTACTCTAAAATTTGCATAAATTTCTGACCACTCCTTCTTGGTGTTGCATTTTCAATGTCGAGCAGTGTATGTCTAATTAAAACATTCAGTACTTTTATAGAATTACATTACATGTTTTTTCGCTTTTTATACAAAAGATATATAAAGTTCACATGTTCGTCTAAATCATAGGTTCCCAACGTGGGCGGCGATACCGCCCCCATATGGGGATTTGAGGCTTTCAGGGGGCGGTAAAAGACCCATAGAAAATTAGGAGCGTTGATATGGCACGGAGGGGCGTGGGAAGATTAACCAAATATAGTCTAAAAAAGACTTCAAAATCACGCTGATAATTCATTTTTATTACGTGTGCGAAAAATCACATATTTCGAAATGAAACTTCACGGTTGAGAGAAAAAGATACCTCTCTGGTATATACGGCTTTGTGGCTGCATGCACCAAAACTAGCAACCTGTCTTACCAATTTGGCGAGATACACTCCTCGCGCAATCTTGAGGCTAGCCTATTTCTCTCTAACAGAAAACTGTTGACTCATTCTCTATCGTTCATCGCAGCACGTACTGCGTATGATAAAAACGGCGTTTGTGTGCCTTAATATTTTGCTACTTTAACTTATATTATGTCAACTGGCAGTACCCCTTGCATGTCCCTTAACTTGGATCAAGTATAATTAAAGAAAAAACCCATGTCGGAAGCAAAAATGAAGAGGTGGCAGTATAGTATGGATGATATAAAATACGGATTTATCGCAAATCTCACAAATCCATCATCGTCAATGTGCCTTATTTGTCAAAAAAAAACACTTTCGAATGTAGCGATGAAACCTTCTAGGCTTCAAGATCATCTTAATAAAATACATCCGGATAAGAAAGACAAAGATATGACCTATTTTCTAGACATAAAAAAGAAGTTTGAAAATCAGCCAACTATATCAAAATTATTTTCATCAGCTTCTTAACAAGACGATGACGGACTTCGTACAATATATCATTGTTGATTGCTAAAACAGGCAAGCCACATACTATTGGGGAAGATTTAATTTTACCAGCAGTTAAAGAAGTAATAACCACCGTGCTCCATAAACCAGTACAGATATTATCCGAAAAATTCCTTTGAGCAATAATTCTGTGCAAAGACGAATTGATGAGATGGCTGAAAACATTGAAGAATCGTTGTGCAATTTTCAGATTTGTCAATTTCCAATTCAGCTGGATGTGTCAGCTTTACCAACCAATGAAGCATTGTTATTGTTATAAGTGAGGTTTGTCAAAGATGAAAAAGTGTGTCAAGAAATGTTGTTTGCTACCAATTTGGAAACAGATACAAAAGGAGAAAAAGGATACACTGGAAAAGTTTTTTGACGAAAAGGAAATTCCTTTTAATAATATTTTGTCAGTTGCTACGGATGGCGCACCGGCTATGACAGGGCATCACAAAAGCTTCATAGCATGCTTAAAAATTAAGTTCCTGACGTTCTTGCTGTGCATTGCGTAATTCACTCGACAGCATTTGGTTTGCTAAGAAATTTTGAGCAAACGCCTCCATACATCACTGCAATATGTTATAAGAGCAGTTAATAAAATCAGAAGCAACTCGTTGAATGGCATATTACTTAGTCAGCTTTGCATTGCAAATGATGAAGATTTCAACCAATTGCTGCTTCACACAGAGGTGCGCTGGCTCTCAAAAGGTACTTGTTTGACTCGATTTTACAATCTGTTTGAACGCGTGATACAGTTCCTAGGAAACAAAGACACGGAATTGCGCGACAACCTCATCGCATCAAAGAACGATATTGCGTACTTAGCACACCTGTATAAATTGTTTAATGATGTCAGTCTCCAACTTCAAGGCGACGACTTAAACTTGATTAAGACTAAAACCAGCATTGCTGCTCTCGTGTCCAAACTGCAATTATATAAAAGAAATATAGGCAGACGTGAATTCAATAATTTGCCATGTTTATCAGCAGTAGCATTCAAGCACGACGACTTTCTTGTTTACTGTCTACACTTGGAAAACCTCTACAATGTCGTCAAGGAACGATTCCAGGTCATTTTAAACATGGACATACCAGACTGGGTTTTGGATCCTTTTTCCAATGTCAACACAGCAGGATCATCTCTGTCAGAAGAAGAACTTATAGAATTGACGACAAATGAGGAATTAAAAATTAAATTCAAGAATGGCTACCAAGAAATTTGGCTGCAGAAGTCGATTTCACAACTATATTCAGGATTATGGTCGATTGTTCAACGATTTCTGATAGCATTCCCATCCTTATATTTAGCAGAACGTGGATTTAGTGGTCTAGCACATTGGTAACGAAAGGAGAAATCGGCTTCATGTTACTGAACGCGGCGACTTAGATTGTTTTTAAGTCAACTCGAGCCTGATATTAACAAGCTCATTAAAATGCATCAAATTCATCGTTCTCATAAGTTAGAAATTCGATGTCTTTCAAGCTTAATAAAAATACTTTTTAATATAATTAAATATGCGTTTTGATTGTTCTCTGAAACTGTCAATTTATTTATTTAGAAAGCAATAGTTTATTCTGGATTACTTCGTATCATCAAAACCCCTGCCAATCCTTATGACAGGTTAGGTAAAACTTTTATTCCTCTTTTTTTAAACAAAGAAGAAATTCAATAGCGTTTCAATTCCAACAATATTCTATCCAGTAATTTAGATTTATTAGTATTTTTTTTATTTAATTATTGTTTTCACCATGCATTATGTGCGCTCTTATTTCTCTGGAGTGAGAGGGGGACGATATTAAATATTCACTAGAAAACGGGGGATTGGGAACCTAGGGTCTAAATGCATAATCGTCTTAAACCCTATCAACAAAAAAGAGAAATTTATGTAAATATTCTCATACATACTCATTATGTAAATATTCTCATTCATGTCTCATTCTTCCACTTGGGCACTTCTATGTCGTTTGGAAGATTATTAAAATTTGAATCCTTTCAGATTTTTTGTTATTATACATTTTCTCATTTATTAGTCCAAAGGAGCTTTGTCCCTGAAGGACTATTGTATTCATTTTGCGATTTTGCGTTGGTTCACTATAAATGTCCGTTTCACTTTTCAAACTATTGGCACCAAATATTAGAGTCCTGCATTATATTTGAAGAAATTAAATAATGAAAAATCTGCATAAATGTACGTATATTCTTCGCATTGTGATAAAACAACGGTACATAGAGCCATCGAATTTTGATTGACGTAATCCTCCTACGAATATGGGCATGTACTCTCATGTCCATAAATTAAGAAAAATTCGAAGTCACGCTGAAATCGAACTCTAAAATAAATATATCACCTGTAAAATCACTACACACATCTTCAAGAATCATATGGAAATTTCGGGAAATAACCAGATGACACCGATGTACTTCACAATGACGAGAGTGTAAGAGAGTGATATATAAGGAATATAGGCAAAGAAGTAAAATTGTTCGCAAGCGCTTTATAAGCATTTCAGTGCAATAACCGAATAGTTATGACACAAAGGACACATTTGGATGATTTTTTTACGTGGTAGAATTATCGCCCGTCTGGAATGTGGGCGTACACAACTGGAAGTATTAGACGAACTTGGAATTGCCCTGAGTGTCATCTCCAGGCTTTGGCAACGATTCCAAGATGATGGTAATGTGAGTAGACGTTACAGCACAGGTCGCTCCAGAGTTACAACGCCGAATGAGGGCCGGTATTTGGCAGTTACTGCCAAAAGAAACAGGCGGAGCACAGCCTCAGACCTGTCTCGTCAGCTCTCTTCAGCCACTTGTACGACAATTTCAAGGCAGACTGTGTACAGACGCTTAGGTCAGATTGGTTTATATGCTCCTAGACCTGTCAGATGCGTTCCACTTACTGCAACTCACTGTCGCCTGCGGTTAGCCTGGAGTAAAGAGCATGCATTGTTGCCACCGCAACAGTGGACTTGTGTGATGTTTTCCAACGAGTTAAGGTTTAGCTTGCAGTCTGATTCTCGCCGGACTGGAGAGCTCCAGGTACATATGGAGAGCTCCAGGTACCCGTTACCACGAAGAAAACATCATTGAACGACACCGTTACGGTGGTGCAGGAGTGCTCGTTTGGGGTGGAATTATTCTGGGTTCCAGAACTGACCTGCATGTTCAAATTGGAACCATGACAAGCCAAATCTATCGGGACTTCATTCTGGAACAACATGTACGTTTGTTTCGGGGCGCCATCGCACAATTTGTGTCTATGAATGACAACGCCCGTCCTCACCGTGCAAACATCGTAAGCGAATGCCTTCAATCGGAGGATATCATCCGTATGGACTGGCCAGCATTCTCACAAGACTTGAATTTAGTAGAGCACGTATGGGATATGTATGGCCGACGAGTTGCAGCCCGTCAACCTCTTCCTACATGTCTACCGGAACTTCGGAGAGCATTGGGTTTTGAGTGTTGTAATATCCCCCAAGATTAGATCGATAATTTGATTCAGCATGCCTAGGCGTTGTAGGGACTGTATTGCATCGTCTGGGAGACATACAATGTATTAACAATCATACCAACCATGTAATATTTGTTTTTTGTAAATAGGGTTTTTTTTTTTTTTTTTTTTTTTT